TGAAGTTTCGACTCTGTACTAAAACGACCGGTCGCTTTTACCTAACGACCGGTCGCTCTTACCTCACGACCGGTCGCTGGTCACTGTTCACAGCACATTTCCTTTTTTGTTTGTTTGTTTTGTTTGTTTCTTTTACATTTCTTTACTTTCTTTTTAGTTTCAAATTTGCATTTGTGCATTGTGGTGTGTTAATTAAGTGTTCTCTTTGTACTCGAATTAGAACTTATAGGAAACCGACAAGTTCTTCGTGGGATCGACCCCGTACTTACATAATCTATACTTCGATAGATTCGTGCACTTGCGGGTATTTTTAATTGGTTGTTTGCACATTAATTTGTGTCCTTTTAGGAATGCAACACCCCTTCCTAGAGAAACTCTCGTCATTTACCTCTCGGTCTTTCACAGTTCCGCTCCAAGACATTGAGCTTCAGTACCCATAATTGGAGAAGCTCACTTTTACCTTAATTGTTTCGGCATGCAAGCTTCGGCCATATTTCCAAGCTCATGCTATAATTGTACTCACTAACCAGCCTCTACGGCATGTGTTGCAGAAGCTTGAGACTTCCAAATGGGCGATCGAGTTCGACATCCAATATAGCCTTGGATAGCTGAGAAGGACTTGGCCGTTGCCGATTTTATTTCTAAATTTACTCATTCGGCATCCAATGAGGCACCCAACACCATGCCATCATCAGAACCCAGCACCATACCGAGTGAAGATACATTTGATCCTACCATCCTTCTCTGGACTCTACATGTTGATGGCTTGTCCAACCAACATGGATGCGGTGCAGGTCTGGTGCGAACGGCACCTGACAAAGTCAGTATTGAATATGCCATCAAGTTCCAGTTCAAAGCCTATAACAATGAAGTTGAACTTTCTGCAATTAATCATGATATTTGACATTACACTACTACAAAAAGGGCAAAAGACGACCAGAAAAAGACGACGGTAGAACAAAAAACCGTCGTTGTTTTTAAAAAGACGACGGTAATAAAAAACCGTCGTGGATAAGTGACTTAAACAACTAAAAAATGGAGATACTGTTGAGAATTTTTTTATAACGACGCACACAAATAAAAAAGCGTCGTCTTAGTAAAAAGTTTTCTTCAGAGTTAAAATCTGACCAAAAAACAACGACAGCAGGTATGACAAGCGTCGTCTTTTAAAAATCAAGTGTCCTTTTTTTGGTAAAGACATGGTTGTTTTGAAAGAACTGTCGTCTATTATAAGTAAAGACGACGGTTTTTTTATAAAACGGGTCGTCTATTATTAAGTAAAGACGACCATTTTTATATGAAAATGGTCGTCTATTATGAAGTAAAGACGACCCTTTTTATTTAAAAAGGGTCGTCTATTATATGTAAAGACGACGTTTTTTTTTATAAAAAGGGTCGTCTTTACTTCAACATAGACGACCCTTTTTATATAAAAAGGGTCGTCTATTATATTTAAAGACGACGGTTTTTTTTATAAAAAGGTCGTCTATTATATGTAAAGACGACGGTTTTTTTATAAAAAGGGTCGTCTATTATTAAGTAAAGACGACGGTTTTTTTTTATAAAAATGGTTGTCTATTATATTTAAAGACGACGGTTTTTTTATAAAAAAGGTCGTCTATTATGAAGTAAAGATGACGGTTTTTTTTTAAAAAGGGTCGTCTATTATATGTAAAGACGACCCTTTTTATATGAAAAGGGTCGTCTATTATGAAGAAAAGACGACCCTTTTTATATAAAAAGGGTCGTCTATTATTTGTAAAGACGACGGTTTTTATATAAAAAGGGTCGTCTATTATTAAGTAAAGACGACGGTGTTTTTTTATAAAAAGGGTTGTCTATTATATTTAAAGACGACGGTTTTTTTTATAAAAAAGGTCGTCTATTATGAAGTAAAGATGACGGTTTTTTTTTAAAAAGGGTCGTCTATTATGAAGTAAAG